TTAAATAGTATATGAATTCCCACATGATGTAGCTCTCACAAGTGTGTTCGCCGCTTGGCATTCTTAAATGCTTCTAGAATGGATTTTCCTTATGCGGTTTTGTGAGTTATATCTTCAGCGAGGCCAACGCAAACGGATTTCTGTGCTAGTAAATCAAGATAAGGCTCCGCAAAGGCGCCTAAATAAAAGGTGTGAAAGTGGAAGCGTTGCCCCACTGCCAGAGGAAGCCGAAACAACACCCGCTGGCATGGGATGACACCCCACAACAGGAGTACAGCTATAGCACGATCTTTATTGTCGGGCCACTGAGTAACTTTAATGGAGCAGTTGGGGTTTAAGTGCCCTGTTTATGGACAAATTGACAACAGTTGTTGAGAGCTGGACGAGTCTGTTACTTTGCTCTCCGGCTTTTTGCAGCCGATTGTGCTGCTGTTGACATTTTTAAGGAGCGAACCCATAAATTTTAATGGTTTACTTCCCAATTTCGATTTTTATGTGTAAATGATTTGGATGGCTAAATAAATATGAACCTGATGTGCAGAGACTGTAGACTGTCAATTATTGCGATTCAGGTTTAATGTAGTGCCTGCATTCGGAGGTTAGACCCCGCAAGCCTATAACTCTAACGCAATCAAAAAGTGACATTTCAGCAAGTTTCCGCCTCATAAATTCATACTTCACCTGAGAAATACACAATAAACACACCGTCTCATAGCTGAGAAGGAGTTCTTTCCTACTTTGGCAACACAAAGTGCAGAAGAGTCCGACGTGGGCTCCGGTGGAAGTCCATCAAATATGGCATCGAGTCAAATTGACTCTTTTCTGGCTTCACAGGGTCTCTGGGATTATATTTGTCCTCCAAAAAAGTGTTTTTGTGAGAACACTTTTAAATTTAATTCCAAGATGCAGTTCTTAAGGTCAAACACAAATTGACTTTCAAATTAGTAATGGTTATTCATAAATGTTGAGTGAAGGAAAGGAATTTAGTATGCAGTGTTTGGAGACAAAAATCAGGTTGAAAAATTAGGTCTAAAGAAAACAGATTTAGTTTCCTTAAAAGGAAATATGCATGTTTGACCTTTTTACTTATGGCTGGGATCAGAACACTTTTAAGGAAACAGATTCTAAAAACGTCACTGTTGTAATATATGTGTGTCTTTCTGTCATTTGCTGTTGTCAAATGACTTTTTTTCGCATAGTAATGAAGACGCGTTGGAAGTCTTAGTTAATGTTTGGGTTTTATACAACTTTAGATAAAACCGACAAACCGATAACTACACAGTTGTTCAAGAGGATGTTTGTTGTTTCCTATGACTTTGAAGGAGTTACGACCCTTTGGATTAGTTCAGGATAATGGCCGGTCCAACGGGCCTTTTCTTTATCGTTTTGTCGAACTGGAACACACGGACGTTTGTGGATTATTTATGAATTGGCTTTGAATGACAAGCTGGTGATGAATGTGTTTGATGCGCAGCAGGGTTTGGATGCAGGTCAAGAGTGGACCATAAATCTATCTGCAATTGATGAACAATGGTTGCCCTTGAAACGAGCGCATAGCGCTTGCAAGTACAGCGATCAGCCACAACATTAAAACCACTGACAGGTGAAGTGAACAGCATCGATCATCACGTCACAGTGCAATGTTCTGCTGGGCAACCTTGGGTCCTGACGTTCTTATGGATGTTGCTTCGACACGCACCGCCTACCTAAACATTGGTGCAGATCAAGCATACCTGCCCTTGCAATGGCCCTCCACAATGGCAGCCACCCCCGAGAAGGACGCACCATAAAAAACAAAGAAGAGCCCAAGGCGTTGACCCAAACTCCAAACTCTCAAAAACCAAATGTGGTCCCGTGTTCATGCCCCAGTGAGTCAGTTCTCTTTCTTTGGTACAAGGGAGACCTACAAACTACCAGGCAGGTGGTTTTAACATTCCAGATTGGTGTAAATGGGTTTAAATGTTTAAAAAAATGCATCGCAAAATCATGATCACATGTAGCAGTACAGGCTTAAGAATCGTACAGGTGGAGGACTCATCAGGACCAGTAACTCCTCCCTGCACATTTGTACGCATTACATTTTTCAGAATAACCTCGGCTATTCAAAAATTAAACATCTGAACAGTTGGATTCAAACCAAGTCTCCAGGTGCTAGAAACCAATAGTAGCATTTTCAAGAGGAGCTCTACAATCACACTGGTACTGCAAAGTGATGACTGTCATCAGTGGCTTCATTCATGCTGCACTGGATCATTCATTAGCTGGCTACTAACATCTACTCACATTCATGCATGAGGACGGCACAGACATGTCAGCAATATGTGACACATCTCACCATCAGTTAAAGTGTTGGTACTGACATGTGTTGCTTCACCACTTTATCATTAGCTATATTTGAAGTAATTTTAACGAGTATTTGATTAGGATCTTTACAAGAATGGAGCCTTTGGTATGAAGTCTAACTATAAGGGCATTTGACACAAGTGTAGTCGGTGCATTGGTCCATAGTGCAAACACAAATTATTTTCTGTAGATGTTTAGATGTTTAGAAGTATTTATTGTGTAGGGACTCATCACCGTAGCAAGATAGAAAACCCTCAGAGCTTTGTGGTTAGCACAGATTTCATTTAAACCCAAACCATTAACTCTTCCCAAACTCATAACCGTAGTCTGATAGCGTAGCATAAAGGAAACAGCCGCAGAAATTATATGATTTGATTTGAAAAACAGATTGTTTCTCAAACTCCAGTCTCCTGGATTACAGTCCTGTGTATGGCTAATGACACCACCATCACTTTAATCTCTCAAGATGGAACTTGTGGCTGTTTTCTTGTGCAAAGCCAAAATTCACATAAGGCCAGTCGAAAAGAAAAGGGTAGCAGTGTAGACGGAGGAAACAGACGGTTTGAGAGGGACGTGATGCAACCCATCCATGTTTAAACCAGACAGGCATTTCTAAACAGAGAAGATGGTCGACGACACCATTTGTTGGGTGCTTATGATGCAGTTCTAAGATCCCTCACCTGATAGTTTAAACACTTCTCACACCATCAGGCATGTCAGTTTTCTGTCATCAATGGATGCCTCTTGGATGAAACATCTTCAAAAACCAAATGTCGAGTTGCCTTCTGCCAATGCAGCGCAGAGAAAAGAATAAGTCAGAAAAACGAAGGTAGCTCACAATTTTACAGCCTCATGTGCTTTGATAAGATATGACAAAAAAAGTAATCTAACAGTGAAATCATTGAGCAACTGCAGACTTGCATCCTAAACAACAACATAGTAGCTGAGGAATTGCTCAAACTTTGGTTTACTGTGCAACAGCTCAGAAAAGTAGCATTTGATTGCCAATAACTACATGCAAGTTGGAGCTACAGGCAAGATGCTCTAATCCAGGGGTGTCAATCTCAAAAACACAGTGGGCCAAAATTTAAAACCTGAACAAAGTCGCGGGCCAACATTGAACAAATTAACCTTTTAATATGGACCGAAACAAATTTTGCTTTAACATTGAATATGGAACAAGCAACGCTTCTTACCATACATTATATATAACTTAATAGTGGAGACATGCAAAATCTAATTATAAATAAAAAAACACATCAATGGCACAGTGACAGTTGTAGAGTGAAGTCGCTATGCCTACTGTCACAGAGGAGAGGGAATTTCTGGGTTCTGTCCTGATTGACGCACCAAAACAACAGGGCATTATGGGATTTGTAGTATTAGCGGTGTAATGTAATGCGCTGTACAGTATAACACCTGGGGCAACTCTAGTAGTCATTTGGTATTGTCTCGCGGGCCAAACATAATTACAAAGCGGGCCAAATTTGGCCCGCGGGCCAGAGTTTGACACCCCTTCTCTAATCGGTTTTTCCTTTAAACACTGGATGGTATGCAGGCATTGTGCTGGGAGGGGCAGTGTTAAATAAAGAGGTAGCACGTGGCCTGAGGTGTGCCGAGCCCAAAGCACCATGGACCTGACACGGTGCATGTGTACAGTCAGTGAAACCAGAAATTGTAAATCCACTTATCACAGTTTTAGAGAAAGAAAAAAAACCTGAGTTACTGTTGTTTTTGCTCATATTACACATGTTGGACCATTCATCACGTTCCAAGCCATTGATCATTATTTGTACTTCTGGAATCATATCTGCATACACAATATGTTTTCCCAACCGCTTCAGCCACGATTTGTAAAAACAGTGATGTATGCCGGCTACAGCTTTCATGATTGATTGTATCTCAGCTGCTGACTCACTTTAAAGCTGACTTTACCTTCTTCATTTATCTGCGTTGGGCTTTTTTATTTTATTTATTTATTTATTTTGCCTCGGTAAAGGTTTCTTCCTGCGGCTCCCTGCCTCTGGCTTTCTGTTTGCGTGGGAGTGACAGCGGCAGCAGCAAGGAGTAGATGGTGATCGCGAGGCAGGATGATCATTAAGCGCTCCGTGGAGATGAAATAGTTCTGTGTTACTTTGATCACCAGTGTCACGTACGCACGCAGGATGCTTGGGTTCACCTTTAAGTTTTGAATCGTATATTAAAGCCTGCTCTTCTGAAGGTGCGCGTCTGAACCCAGAATCAGTGCCAAGCGTCTGGTGGGCCCCATACGACAAGAGAAGCAATCTGTTTTCATGAGCTCAGGTCCCGGGGCAGGAGATTAAATTGCTTATTTGGATCCTGGGTTGAAAAAGTTTACTGTAAGTACCTCTGAGGGCTATAACAGTAGGGAGAGAAAAAAAAAAAGGTTCTCCAAAGCTTTTTCTAAACTCCTGCTTTCAACTGAGAGAATCAAGGTCAACCTGTGTTCCCATTTAATCTCTATATACGCTCAAAAGCTTCTGTGAAAATATGACAAAGGATGCTACTGCGGCTGACTAGTGGTGTTTTAATGGACTTTCATCGTAGAGGAAGTTGTTATATATGAACCAGAGTTTGTGTAGGATTCGGCATGTGCGCTAACAATCTTAACCTTGATGTCGTTTCTGTGTTCTCAGTTCCAGCCAACATCTACAAGGTGTCAGAAGACATCACGGTGAACGAGGGCAGCAACGTGACACTCAGTTGTTTGGCCAGCGGCAGGCCGGACCCCACAATCACTTGGCGGCTGCTCAACCCCTCAGGTAGGAAACATGCAATCAGCACTTATTATCGCACGCCAGTCGAGATGTCTGGCTGATGATGTGCCAGATTATTTCAACGTTAAATGCTAAGTTTCTTTCTCTCGAGCGGCCAAGAAAGTTCTTGTAACTTTTGTACGTTACACACAGTGTGAACACAGACACACACTCTCAGCAGACTGACAGTGGTGTTAGCATCTCAAGTGTCCATTCACTTCTTTCACTAAAAGTTGAAGAAAAGGGGACACTTCTCATAGACACAGCTCTCCCTATCGTGCTTTACTCAGACCTTGGCTCATGATTGTTGGATTCACACTTTTTCTTCAGTGTGCAGACACTTGAAATGACATTCTACCTGGAACTCTTTTCACAGCCTCCTATGTTTACAAAGTCACGGCATTTGTGACCATGAGAATGTTTCTTGCTAATCAAGCTTTCCTTTTTTTATTAGTATTATTATTATTATTAATGCAGCTTTATATCTATCTGCCAAGCCCCATTTTATTTTATGTATTTTTTGTTGTTTTTACAGATTTGGTCTAGACCATATCTTTCACGTAGACATCCAACTGGATCCAACACATTGCTCTTGGACAGAATCACAATTCTCGGTTTTACGCTCTCGACAAAGACACAAAAGAGCTCCAGTGTTAGTATGATGAATAGATTGTGATGCTGAGGAATAGTAATGTACAAGATTTTCCGTGTAGCATCTTCCCGCTGCTCCTATTTAAGTGAAAATCCATTACTTTTCCGCAAGTTATAGCTACAGATGCATGCACTCAGCATCTTCATTTCACACGAGGTAAAGTCACTTAAACTCTAAGTTCTTACGTGTTCGTCACATCAGTGTTTGTACATCGGAGTGTGCATGAGGGTGTGTTGGCGTTGTTGGTCACCCCACATATGTGCGTCCCTCAGATAGCTGCGATGCTGTTGCTTTGGGATTTAATCCAATTTCAGGGAAAAGATAAACGTCTCCAACTGCTGATGAGTTTCGTAGAGTGATGGATGAAGATGCTCCAGCTGACAACATCTCACTTTTATAACAGCCCCGCACTGATTGAAAGCCGTCCTATTTGTGTGTCTTTGTCAATTACCGCGTGAGTTTGTCAGCACTCCAGACATGTTTCATCAAATACATCTGTTTCCTGCACCTGGAAGCTGAACAGCTCGGGTAGGTGCATTCGCCTCATTTGTCTGTTTGCATTAAAGTGGAGTGATTTGTTCAGCCTTAATCTGCGAGCTGTATGGATCTGGCTGGCTGCTTTGCAGAGCCGGGCTGGAAACTGTTGGGCTCCGTTTTCATTTCCTTCCTGTAAAGCTAAAGGGGAGCCTTCAAAGTTCAGATGGCTCACAAAGTTACTGTAGGTAAAGCTTTTGCTCCCAGAAAATGGATGGAAACATGGATAGAGGGAAGGAAAAAAGCAATATCCAATCCTCCTGCTGCAGTAGACTCGGCCTTAATAACTACGCCCCTGCAAGTTCTGTACAGTATTTCCATAAGGTAGCTTTTCTTTTCATTATTCACTTTCTCTGTGTTTTATTGAGGAAGCAGTAGGCATGCCACCTTCGACAAGTCTTTGTTCTTTACTGAGACAGTGCGATAGAAAGGAAATCCTGTCAGCATCCTTGCAGGATGGGATCCCATAAGTCTGCACAGTCACATGTGGCTCCTGAGATGGAGGCCCCTCACCATTTGCAAACACAAGTACTGCTGTTGTTTCTGTTGTTGTTTTGTCAGGCGTCTTTCACAACGAAATCCATAAGTCTAACCCAGTTCAAGAGCGTGTGGAGGGCTGCTGAGAGAGATAATGATGTCTGGCAGCCTGTGGTCTGACTGCTTCATGCCTTTCCCTGCCTGGGCGGCAGCACGGCTTCGCTTCGCTAGTGAGGCTCTCAGCTACTTGCTGGGACCGCAGATGTTCACGACACACAAACCGCTAGTCCTAGTCAAGACTCAGGTTTTCTATTCAGAGCCTGAGTTGAGCCTTTAAGCATAAAAATCAAGCTCAGGCAATGGCTATTTCTAAAAACGATGTGTTTTTTATAGTTATAAGGTCGTAATAGAACCAACTGTAACGTCTTTAAAGCATAATGTTGTTTAAAAAAGCAGCAAACTCCTGCAAATATGGAAAATTGGTAAAAAGGGCATCCATGCTTTATTATGATCAAAGGAATAATCACCATTCCTTCAATTAAATTCCAGTAAGAGTGGTTTTTACATCTCGACTGTAACAAGCAACAATAAAATCAGATGTGCTGTTTTTCAGCAAACACCAGAAAGCTGGCTGACGAATAGAAGCAGCTTTTTTTTTTTTTTTTTACTGAAAATGCCAGCTAGGCCACATTGCAAACTGTCAAGTTAGCAACAGGCTACCATGGAAAGAGGAGGGAAGAGTGGAAATCAGGTACATAGCTGTAAAAGTAAAATGACAAGACAAATACATACATGTTGAAGGTACGTGTTCATCTAGAACAGGTGTGTCCTCAAGAGCCCCTGTCCAGCATGTTTTAGATGTTTCCCTCTTCCAACACACCTGATTCACATGATCAGGATCGTTATCAGGCTTCTGCAGAGCTTGATGATGAGCTGATCATTTGAATCAGGCGTGTTGGAAGACGGAAACATCTAAAACATGCTGGATAGGGGCTCTCCAGGACCAGGATTGGGCACCCCTGATCTAGAACATCAGCGCCATAAGGCAAGAAGGCAAGAAAAGCACAAAGCCGTAGTATTTGTCAGTCAGTAGACTCTATCTTCAAGTCAACTCTGAAATCAGTCGAACAACTTTCAAGTCAAGTTTTGTGACGAGACTGCAGCACTGCGACTGAGTCACTTATTCCAGTGCCAAAATCTGGCTGAAGTTCATGCTTGCATAACCACATGAATATTCATATTCAGGCTTGATGACTGTGTGCACATGTCGCTGTGCACGGATGTGTGAAAATTCACTGGCATTCACACACAAACACGAGATAAACTCATCACAGATACACGTTCGTTGCCCTTCAGAAGCTGTAAGGTTCTTTAATGTTGACCCCTGCTGAGCTGAAATCGAACCATCATCCAAACCCCTAAACTGCCAGAATCACATCATTTAACCATCAGGAACTGAAACCTCGGAGATCAGACGTAGACGCACACCCCAAACACAGACAGCAGAGACGGAGTGAAAATGCTCCTTTGTGCCTCCTTCAAGCCGAATGAGACAACACACTTCCATGCTGCCGCCGTGACAGACAGATGATACAGTGTTTGTCTTTTCAACTGGAAATCCTCTTTAGTACTGCACACTTTGTGTTAAATGAGAAATTATTTAAAGAACAGCAATTTGCACGGCCTTGACAGATGATCAAATTCCGCTTTCCTAAGAATAGCGACGTGGTGTCACCTCCGCCGGGATGAGCTGCAGCTAAAAGCAAACACTCCCGACTGTGGACAGGTTGCAAACACGTATGGAAAACTCCTGTAGTCTGGATCATAATATCCCACCTGCCAAGTGAATTAAACGCTTTAATTGTGTTTTCAAAAACAATTTCTGCCGGTGAGACGCTAACGGAGCAGGCCGAAACTGTTTGCTTTAAATCAAACTGACACAACTCTAAAAAGTCAACAAACCAAACTGAATATAGCAACCCGCGGAGTCCGTGAGCAGCCGACTGTCAGTCAGCTCTGTCTGCGCCCAAGTTTTGTCTGCAAAACTTCTTTTCTCAGGGGATCACATACAAAACCTGAAGCAATCCCATATAATTTCAAATAACCAGAGTGACAAATGACACCTCCGATGCTGCGGCTGAGCATTTTTCCGCCGTCTGTCTGAATTCATATTTCCATCCGAGGATTTGTTTATGGGATAGTTAATAGCAGGGTTTCTCCGGGTGTCCACACTGATTACAGCTGTCATGTGTTTCTACGGGACCATCCAAGCTGAAAATCGGCGCTGCACAATCTTATTTCTCTGTTATTGTTGGCTCTTTCGCTTCGCTATCACGGAGCTAATTATATTACGACTGACGTGTTTGGTTTCTTAATGACAAAGTGGCGCGCTAGGTAGATTGACAGATAGACGAAAAGAGCGCAAGGTTATGTATACGTATATACATAATTACGCTCCATCAAAGGTACTGTTCGTGTTTGTCATTGAGACAAGAAGTCTGCTGGGTTGCTGCTCGCACATCACCGAGCTACATTAGTAATTAAGAGATCATGAGACTAAATTGAATATATTTTCCCGAGGTCTTAAAATGCATTCGCCGGAGCGAGTCTGAGGCGAAGATTTCTCGGCCTGCTGTGCCGAGACTGCAGAGGGCCATCAGATGCAGTGAGGAATGCTGCAGCTTGGTAAATATTGCAACCCTTTGAGCGTGATCTGAGATGACAATGAGGCAGCAGAAACTTCATTATGGGTGTGGATGTGCAGTCATCGCGAACAAGGTGCTCATTAGAGCACCAGCTCACATAAAGGGTTTTATGTGTTCTCTGGCTAACATTGTCAAAGGAAATAACAAGCAAAGTTTAACAATTACCACGATCACAAAACCTGTGGCCTGAATCTAAACTGGGTAAATATTCAGCCTTTTTAAACAATATTCAGAATAAAATAACAAGTCAGCCGATAAGTCTGAGCTGCAGGCTGTTCGCACAAAAACAACATATGTACACGTTTATGGTCCGTGTTCACAGTGACGGGAGGAAACACGGTGACTAATGGAGCTACAGGATCATTGTGTGGAGGAGGTCGGGGTGGAGGGCCGGGTTAACAAAACATCAGACTTTCCGATTTCAATTGTGCTCCGGCTTCCAAGTCTGACTAAGACTCCCCAACATTCACCGAGTTGTCATTTTAACTGAAGCCATAATGTTTCTCTGACCCTGAGACCCTAAAAACCTGTTTTCTCAGTTAATTATGAGTCTTGGGATCCTACATCAACATTTTCTGCCAACGACGGAACAGTTTTCATTTAGAAAGACGAGCGAGTCGGTTTAGTCTGGGGCTCGG